TCTAAAATAATCCCAATAACTTTAATACCTTATATTCTAATAATCATCACATTAGAATCCTTACATCAAAGTTATACTTTAAATTACATGAACCAATGTAAATTATTAATATAATTTAACACAAAATTCTAGATAAAGTTAAAAAAAAGTTAAAAAAATCAAATTTCTAATGAGATGAAAAATAACTATTTATAGAATATCTATACAATTTCTATTCTTTATTCATCTAAATGATTTACAGGTCTTATATGTTACATTATTTTTTTTTAAATGTCATTTCAGAAAAAAGAATTATATTACTGACTATTTGTTTTTTAGTATTTCATTTGTCTCGTGTGCATATATCATTTTCACTTTTTGCATACCTATTCTTAAAAAATTATTTTTATTAATTTATTAACTCATAAAAATTGTGTGATATGAAAAAATTAAAAGAAGATTTGAAATATAAAACGCGAAATCTTACCAAAGAAATATTATATGTATGTTAAATATTTAAATGTAGAAGATAAAGTTCAACAGAAAAACAAGAACTACACGAATATGTCTTTTTTTCATTTTTCTCCGTTCAAGACTAAAATACATAATAAATTGACTATCTCATAGAATCACTGATTTTTCAGTCTATTCATTTGATTTGATTATCACATATTTTCTTCCTGTACCTCCATAATTTATGTGTACACTCCATATGTTTCAAAATCTATTTTATCCTCTATAAAAGGGAATTTTAATTATATATTTTGGAAATTATCTATAACGGAATTTATAAAATAAGATTTTCGGAATATGGTTTAAAGGAGATATCAAAAAACAAAACTTTATTCATATGTGCGGGGAGAAATTTAAGGAGGTGCAGAAAGAAATTGCCTTCTAACCACCTTACCCTAAAGGTAGCCCAACCCAAAACAATCACAAGAATAGCATTATTTTTTGCACTGCAATAAACAATAGCAGAGAAATCTACGAAGATGTTGAATACAAACCAAAAACTTGTTGTGCAAGCATAAGAGATGTTGCATAGTTCTTGTTTCCCAAGTAATTTGATAATCATTTTGAGTCTAGTCAACATTTTTCTTTATAATCTAAGCTTTTCACAGTTCAGTTTCTTTACCAAAGAACACTTTCTACTCATAAACTAAACTAAACTAAACTCATTTTTTATTCTACAAAGTAATTGCCATGTTCTACTACAAACCAATTTACATGATATCCCTTCTGCAGATCGTCTTCCTGAATTACATAAACCATTATACTCTATACTTTCTTTATCATTTATACGATAACTTTATCAAACATTTTACCAGGGGGAGATTTTAAAACATTGATATAATAGAATTTAGACATGATGCATTGTCAATGTTTTTCTGTGATAGTTCTTTATAAATATATTTTGCGATTGTAAGTGACTAGTTTCTGGTTAATCACTTTTGCTGAAATTTTGACCAATTACATGTTAATTTTTTTTATTTTGTTAAAGTATTAAAAGTTCTTCAAATTTTCTTTCAAACAACCATTTAAAAATTGTTAATTTTTAATTATTTTCAACGACATACATAGCTTGGGAGCCATATAAATATGGTGGAAGAGAGTGAAAGAGAGAAACAGAGTAAAACTGAAAGATGAGTTTTCTCGCGGGAAGGTTAGCTGGGAAAGAAGCATCGTATTTTTTCCAGGAATCCAAACAAGCCGTAGGAAAATTAGCCCAAAAAAACCCTATTCCTAAGTCCAATAGCAACAACAACAACAACCTAAACTTCCACGAAGAACATGATCATTCGGATGTTCTTCCCGAGGTTCTAAGACATCATCTTCCTTCCAGAGTGTTCAGAAATGATGAAGTTACCACTTCTTCCTTCTCTGCCTCCAAATGGGTCCTTCCTTCCGATCCAAAAATCCATTCTTCCGTATCCCCCGACGCTCTCAATCCTCTACGTGCTTACCTTTCCCTGCCCCAAGTCACTTTTGGCCCCAAAAGGTTTCTTCGTCTATCTCTGTTTCAATTTCCCAATTACTTTTAGCATATCAATCAAATATCATATGCACAATGGTTTCCCATTTGAATTGTATCCTTTAGTTTTAAATTGAGCTTGAGTTTTGTGTATTATCAGTATAAAAAATTCTATACTTCCTTAGTATTTAATAATCATCACTCTCTCTTACAATTTCCCAGATACTTTTACATCGTCAATCAAATATCATATGCATAACGGTTTCCCATTTGAATTTCATCCTTTACTTTTAAATTGAGCTTCATTTTTGTGTGTTATCCGTATAAAAGTTCTATACTTTCTAAGTATTTAAGAATCGTCACAAGAATGACTTTTAAGATAATTATTGTAAAATTTAACAAATTTATTGCATTTTGTGATTGAATAACAATGTAAAATTGTTTTATACCGATAGTATACCCTATTTGCACTTTTCAATTTTAGAACTAGGGTTTTAATAGGCAAAGAAGCTGGTTGTGATTCTTCCTCTTCTCTTTTTAATGTTTAAAATGAGTGATATTGTTGAATTGCTTATGCACGACGGTTTGGTTGCACAGGTGGCAACTGCCCGAAGCAGCAAACACAGTTTCGGCCTCAACAGCTAATGAATTGCGTCAAGATAGGTTTGCCACTCATGTTAACCCGGAGAAGTTGAAAGCTGCTGGTGAAGGGCTTGCACATGGTACATTTCATTAAATTCCTGCTGTACTGTATATCTTTGATCTTTCATTGCTTTGTTTTGCCCTGTATTATAAACTGAGTGTTTTAAGCAATTCTCAATATTTGTAGATACCTGGTTTGTTTATGCAAATCAGGGAAATAAATTGTTTTTCTCACCTATGAATATGTACATTGTGGACTTGATATCTACTTGACTGGATTATATATATTGAGCTTGTTGCCCTCATCTTTCACATAATCACTTAATGTCTCTGTGGGGTTTATAGTGGAATCTACAACTGCTAATGGTTGAAGGTAAAAACAAGCATCAAGTGTTTTCTACTAAGCAACTTGGTCCAATCTGTTTGGGTTGATGCAGTAGTATAAAGAGGAAGGTGTCAGAGGAGTTTAGGTAATTTTATTGGGTCCAAAGAGTATATTAATAATTTGAGGGAGTAAAGTTGTGGTACATAGAGCATATTTCATAAGAGTTACTTAAAAATATAAATATTACTTTAATGTTAGTCCGCATACATAAATTGTTTAAAATTGAAGAGAGTTGTTTGTAATTTATAAGGAACTCATATGTTTAGGACCTGTACTAAATTAATGTTCAGGTGGTTATTTACTTCGTTAGTGATTGGTTTGTTGTGACTTCATCCAGATTTTGTTGTGTTTATATCAATAATGCTGTTAAGGAAAAAAGTTTTCGGGCAAATTCTTTGGGAATGATGCATATGTTTTCTAATGCAATTTTTCAATTACCATTTTTTTAGTTGGAAAGGCTTTTGCTGTTGCCACTGCATTTGTATTTGGTGGTGCTGCATTGGTGTTTGGTACGGTGGCCTCCAAGTTAGAGCTGCATAATGTAAGTGACTTGGTTTGTTGAAACTATATGCCTAACTATCTGTCATTTGAACATGAACAAGTTAATTTTTAGGAGTTTTTTAAGTTTCAAATTTTAGGATATTGGTCAGATACGTATATGATCTATTATATAGATTTAAAATATATTTTTCATACAAAATACCAACATAATTTAATATGTTGATCCTAGAGTTTAATATATGTATTTTTTTTTTTTAAATTAGTTAAGTAATCCACTAGAATGTCTACCTTGATCCATTTTCATTCATCGTTCTTCTTAAATTATTCATCATGTTGAAAGACATTTATGACCATAAAAAATCGTTTTTATCAGAATTTTTGTTGTTGTTACATTACAGATCAGTGACATCAAAACTAAGGGAAAAGAGTACGTGGAGCCACAACTTGAGAGTATCAAAGAACAATTTGCTCCCTTCAAAATATGGGCAAGTTTAAAATTGTATTTCTTCAGTCTTCTGAGAACATTTCAATTCACAAGCCTAACTCAAAACTTGGATTTGCAGGCTGAGAATGTGTCAAAAAAGTGGCATAAGGAAGGGGAAGATGTTAAACAGAAGACTATCGTAAAGGAGCTATCTAAAATTTGGGGTAGAAATACATCAGATTGAGATTTACATGACTTTAGTTGCTGTGGAAATATGTGGCATGGGCATCCAAAGATGGATTAGTTGGATAGAGTATGCCTCTGGCTGTTGTTGTGTCTGTAAATTTTGAACCGGAGAATAAAAATAATAAAAGGTATTATTGTGTATCAATCATTAAGACGGTAGTAAATGGAAGAATATAATTTTGGTTAAGTGAACAATCCTGATATTTCAGCAGACCAGACATACTGCTAAGGTTCTGAAAACCATAATTCATCAGATAGAGTATGCCCTATATTGGTGATTTGATTTGCATGCTTGGTTTTGGAACACCCGGTCAATAATATAAATTAAAGATTAAACGTTTTTTTATTTTATTTTTAAACTATTTTTTAAAATTGTTTCGTCTTAAAAACTAAATGATATATTTATTTCTTCCAAATATTTGATGAAAGTTTATTTCCCAATAAACAACACATGAAAATTATATTATAAATCACTTCACATACAAAACATTTCACATGTCGTATGTCAAAAGGATGTTAATTTGAAAACAAAAAAAAACATATTTAACTTTAAATTAAATTATGACTTAATAGTATTTTTTACCTTTATATTTATTTTTTTAAAGAGATTCAATGTAATCTTTTCCGTTACATTAATGTCATTCCACCAAATTTGTTCTTGAGATTGAACAACAAATGAGCGTGAAATGAATAGACGATTGTATTACCATATGTCACCTCATCTTCTTCTAAACAACATTAAAAAATAAGTTTCCAGTTGGTATGAATCAGACTTAAAAAATAATTCCTATAACTTATAATCTAGACCAGCTCCATATTTCCAAGCCTCTAGATGCCGCTTCAACTGGAAACTCATCTTGGATGGCAAGGTATGTACCAGTGGCCTTGCGATTCATTGAACATGAGCATAGAATACAAGGTGTGTCAATAGGATCTATATGCTTGTTGAATAAATAAGGAAGCTAAAAAGTGGTTTAAAAGGACCTTTTAAAGATTTTTACCTCACAATAGGATCAGCAAAGGTCGATAGAAAGGTGTAGTATCCAAGCCCCACAAAATGTCTCGACCAATCAACAAGTACAGGAACACCAACCTGGAACAACATAAAATTCTTAACCCCTTATGTTTAAGACTTTTCCTCACTAATTATTTATGCTACATATTTTTATCAAACTCCAACTAGGTTCCTATATGTGTGACTAATTACATATATAATATGAGATACTAAAAGAGAAGAACATATATAAAAGTTGCACTTCAAGACTATGTGAAATTTCCTTGCATCATGAAGTACCTGCTTGAATATGGATGGGAGTATTTGAGGATTTGTTAACATAACCAGGCCTAATGTTTTGGAAAGTGGCCCAAACTGTACAACATCCTGTAAATATAAGAGATGATATCTTAGGAAAGTCATCATTCCAAGTGATATGGGTTCTCATCTCAATTAATTGAGTCTTTTGAGAACAAACATCTTACAGAAGACACACAAAAAAAACATATCCAGATATTCAGATTGGGACCAAAGTATACCTGTAGAAACGGTCGTAGCACAGGATCACCTAGCCTCTGCAAAAGTGAAGGATATGCAAGAAGCCACGGTAAGAAAACACATCAAAATAATGTCAGTCATGAGAGAAATATACCACCTGCATACAACTAAAGTTGGAATAAAGAAGTTCATTAATAAAATCTGCAGGAACATTGGACTGTTTCTTTGCTGACATTGCTCTTTGGAACAGCCATGAAGCACTCAAGTTGGGCTGCATGATACATAATCTTGGTCAGGTATTTAGTTTCATACCACATACTCTGAAAGACTCAAACCTTTGAGAAAAGTTGGAGAGTACCATGTAAGGGTTCAGCAAGGACAAGTTGTATGAGTCAAGATAATCACCATCGATTGCTTCATGTATTCCTTCATTACAATAAAGTGGAGAAAAGAAAGAATCAGTTATCTCAATAGTACATCTTTTTTTTTTTTTTTGTAGTTAGCTGTTACTTGTTTGAGCTACTTTGTTAAAAAAAACCAACCAAATGCATCTATACACATGAATACTTTTTCTATACAGATACTTTAAGCACCATTGCATGTTCTATTTATAGCATTTACAAACTTGGACTGACGATTGATTAATATTCACTCCACACATTTATACTTATAACAATTAGGTATGGGTATACAAATCACCAGCAGTGCCATTTGGGTAGTGAACCATGACTCATGAGAGGTGGGAATTGTGATGATAGACTCACTACATCCTCCGTTTTGAGGTCAAATTTTAGTCAAATGATATCGTTGTATATGTTCTTCATTTCATGTTTCTGGAAAATAAATTCCAGAACAATCTGGAAGTGGGTAAAAAAGAATTGACTCCATGATTTAATTCGTGCAACTTATCGTTGTACATTCAGAGTTTAATGTCTCAGATTGAAAAAAAAAAAAGGTAACTCCTGTCCTACAACATAGCAATAGATCTGCTTCAACTAGTACCAAAATGTACATCACAAGTTTAAAAAATTCACTGAAAGACATACCAGCTGACAGTCTCCCAAGGTGTCTGGTCAAACTTCCAAATCCACCAAATGAAACAGGTGACTGTATGCCACTGGCATCACCAAACTACAGAGAGTGAAGCTTCAATGATTTAATATTAGTTGATATAGATCAGATGACTTAATTTTATTATTTTAGAGAGGCTTCAGAAGTGTAAAACGTAATTTACCTGTAAAACTCTATTAAAAGAAGCTGGTAGCGGACTGCTAAGTGCTCCATATCATCATCAAACATTGTACGGTGTAATGTTAAAAGAAATTATAAGTTGAGATACAAGTAAGCAGATTCAAAATGAGTTCAAAAAAAACTTAGGGAATTGAAAAACAAAGAGCACGTCAGGATTTTAGATAATTTTCTCATATGCAATACATTACCTCTCGCGATACGTGGGAAAGATTCCATAAATAACTCGCAGTATCTCTAAATTGTCAAGTGAAACACCCTATAATGAAAAAATTGCAAATTGACGTCAGTATCAAGCTGAGAAAAGCAGAACACTTGCATAAATAAATGAATCAGAAGAATTGTAAAATTTTTGGCACCTTATATGACTTTAAAAAATATAATATTTGAATAGTGTAAACCTTTATGGATTAGAATAGCCATTGCAGAACTCATTGCACAGAAGCTCTTTAAAACGTAGAGAAAGAAAGGCAAAACTGGATTTGATCAGTAACTACTAGAAAAACAGAGCGGAGCATATAAGATATAGAAGAAAGGAACAAAACTGATCTTTTGATATTCTAATTTTGCACTCAGATTGTTCACACTTTGAAATTTTACAGAAAGAACTTCAATAGAATGTTCATGAAGCCCCTAGTTAGGCAAAACAAACAGCAAATTATGACTAAATTCATCATGAGTTCACGCCTACTGCTTTTTTTTTTTCTAAAGTCGAAAGCTTTAAATAATCTTACAAGCAAGACAGATAAATACAAAGGCATTAAATATTTTAATATGACTGCTAAAATAACTAATTGCCAAATGTAACATAAGGGTACAATGTCCTTCAAAATGGACAAAATAAAGATCAAGACACATCAAAGAAGATGAAGAAAATGAAACTAGCCTGGTATTCTGGCATCAAATCCCAGTATTCATCTAATAATTCTTCTAATTTTGGGGATTCAGGTTGAGGCTCCACATAAGTGAACATATAAGTTGTACGGTCCAAAGGACCCGAGCCTGCAGGAAATGCCTGTGAAGATTTCAGCGAAAGTTCTTAAAAATAGCATAAGGATACTATGTTTCTATTGATATAGTAAAAGGTACCTCCCAAAACAATTGTGCTTTTGAGTCTCCAACTTTCTTTATTGATGAACTGCTAAATATGACATCACTAGTGGAGTTTGTCTTAAAGCCACGTGCACATGTTCCAACAACAAGGCAAACACCATCAGGCTTTTGCCCACCTCTTATCTGTGAAATCATTGAACATGGCAATCAGAAGAAACTTCAGGAAAAGGTTTTAATTTTAATACTCAGTATGTGCTTATTTATCATTCATTAAATAGCATGTGTAGAACTTTAATCAACAGAAGTTTTTATATTTTCATGGAAGTTTTCAGTCTCGTTCTTGTTAGTGTTGATTTTTACAATAATACTGGATGAAAGGGACCATAAATGAACTTAGGTGGCTATTTATTTAACAAATATTGCATCACTTGCATTTGGATGCATATAAATGACAGTTAATGTGTCATGCATATGGATGATAGAACTACAACAGACGACCCAAAGGAGAACTTATAAAGGACAATCAGTGCCTGTATTCCATGAAACATGTGCAAACATCCTTGTGATAATACTATGAAAATCATAAAATATCTGTTAGGATGCAACGGTGAGTAAAAGTAAATTCCTGACCTGTTTTACAACAGGGGAGAAGTTGCCCATGGCATCAATTATGAGACGAGATGACAATATCCTGTCCCCAGAAAGTTTTAGAACCTGAAAAGAAAAACAAAATGTGGTTCATGATTCACTATCTCCGTATATAATAAAAATTATCATGCATCAGTCACATAAATTAAATGGTAATTTAAAATTTCCATTGCAATGCTAGGTTCATGTATTTTCTGTTTCCATGCTTCAATGTCCATCCTCAATCTGCTATGCAATTTTTTTCTGATACAGTGTAGGACTTTCTTTTTGTAACCCTTTGATGTTTATCTACAGTTAAGTGGTGTTTTTAAATGCAAAAACGTATACAGAACTTCAACAAAATGAGACATCTGACCAGGCTACACAGCCTAGAATGGTGTTTGGTTTAACTATGATAATTCATCAGTAATAGAATTTCATAAAATAACACGTCATGATTGCGATAGAATAACTAGTTTTAAAAGTTATGGTGAACTCACTGCAGCATCCTCATATACATTAATGCAGGAGACGCTGCACTGCTCAAAAATGACTCCACCGAGGGAGAGAAACCGTGTCTTTACAATCTCTATAAGCTTTTCTGGTCTGCAGTGGCAAATAGCAAAGATGAATGTTTAAGGAAAAGTCTAGCTCTTCAACGGAATACTAAATTTTACGGTCTAAGGACTTCATTGTAAACCCTGTGCTCTATGCCTATAGGAAAATAACAAAATGCATGTTTATGAGAGTTAAGCCAGACAGATATCCAATTACCTACTAGAATACACAACTATCAAGATAAGTTATAGGCTCTCATACCGGGTCAGATTTTAGCTTAAAATCAATTGGTATTAAGTGAAGCTGTCCTACAAATATATAAATCACACAACAGGAATTGAGGTAAATGATGTGGAACTTCCTAACAAATATTTAGCAACTCTACTTAATTGCCAACTCCATAATTTGCGGACCTTCACTCCCAGTACATTGTCTTTCATGATTTGAACCATATATGACTTGTTATTGTGTTAAGGTAGGGATAATAATAAGGGTCGGAAAGTATATGAGCAGAGAGAATATTTAGTATAAGTTAATTAGAGTAAATAAATATAGTGTAAGTTAATTAGAGTAAATAAATATATATTTAGGAAAATATTCAATATAAGATATTTATAATTAAGGATATATGCTAGGATAATATCCCTATATTTATATTAAATATAGGGATATTTATATTAAATATTAAAATATTAAATATAAGGATATTTATATTAAATGCAGATATATTCTAGAAAATATTTAATAAGAGATGGGCGGGAAATAATTAATATAAATAAAGTTAGAGTCTAGGGTTAAAGAAATACTTTTGATTACTGAGTTTCGTGACAGACATTATTATTTTGTAAGGGAGGTTATGCTCCTAATTATTGTTTATCCTTGTTTATTATTCAGATATTACCATCAATAAAAAAGATTCATTCATCCAATATCATTCGTTATTAGTCTGTTACGTGTGAAAGAGTGTGAAAGAGTGTATTTGGTTAGTTTACGTACTCAGGTGAGTACGTAACATATTGTCTTAAAACATAGTTGTCTAATCGCATTTTTTATGCAAAATAGTTTAAGACTGGATGAAGAATTCTGAAACTGGATGTACAATCCACTTGCACATTTCTCAATAATTCTACATCCAGTCAGCTACAACAAATTTTCTGTTCTCTCTTGAAAGGAATATGAAAAATAGGGAAATACATATACACCAATTATATATGTGGTCGAATTAGCTTACTTTTTGTATAAAAAAATGTTATAAACAAAGTGTTAGTTAAAAAGACTTTGGAGAAATAAGTAAATTTTCTCTAATAATTAAATAATCTAAGCATACACTAAATTAAGCAACTGCAACTGCTCATTGCCAAGCCAGACAGAACAGAAAAGAAAAATATTAACTAGATAAGAACAAAGATTAACTTATATATTCATAATTAAAATACAAGAAAGCAGTTATTATGGTAAGAAGACTGACGAAACACCGAGATTAAGTATGTCGCTGACCCAGATATCCCCTTTCCTTTCAAATCCACATCTATTCTGCATAGTTTACGAAGTTGCCATAGAGGAGTTAGTAATAAGTAAATTAAAAATAAAATAAAGGGGAGTGTAGGAAGCATAAATCCTGCGGAGGTTACAAAATAAGACTTGGGTTGAAGGCAGCATTTAAGACTTGTGCCATTTGTGAGATATCTTTTTGTCGATTGGAGAAAGAAACTGTTCCAATATTCCTTAGTTGTTAGATCATTTCATCTTGCACTGCTCTATGATTTTTTTTCATTTAATTTGTAACTAACAAGACCCTATTATCAATCTTTTGCTGTGTTCAGGTATGCGATGTGTGTTCAAACCTAATCAAGATGACCCTTTCTACAAACAGATTGGCAACTAAACTGAAGAAGTTCAGGAATTACAGGATTGAATTTCACTGCCGTGGCTCTTTCAATGTCATCTTCTTCCAGGACTCCAACTTCTACAAGTTCCAAAAGCTCCTTTCTTGATATATTCCATTCTTGCTCTCTCTAGTCATAAAAACAACACAGACAACTCAATTAATTAACCCTTCAAAGAATTCTCTGACCCTTTTCATTGTAGGATTGAATGTTGATAACTCAATCAAGAAGCTGAAATTACCCCCTTCAGTACATTCCTTTCCACAATCGCAACTCGAAGACCCCTACTACACAAGGCAGTGGCAACGAAGATTCCTAGAGTGCCACCACACACCAACACATCATATGAACCTTCTGCTCTGTCAGCAAGACCAGATGAGCCAAACAAGCCTGGGATGGTAGAGACAATTTGCTGAGGCTTTTGATCAACTGCAATGAATATACATTAGAAGATCATATAAAGTTCTCTCATTTCCTAAAGGGTATAAGAATCATGGAATGACATGAACCTTCTTGAGAGGAGCATATGGTTGACCATAGCTTGTCTAATCTTTTCAAGGCTTCATAAGAGTATACTCCACCAGCACCACCAACTTCTCCACCCACTGAAACACCCTCCATAATCCTCTAAAAAGGTAAAAGATAGCATAATATTTTTACATGATCAACGAATTAAAAACCAGTCTACATATGATTGTTAAAAGCTAACAATCTTACCATATTCAATCCGTAACAGAAGACAACGTAAAAACTTTACACTATAAGTGTTATTTGGGCTTGTTACAAAGAAAGCAGAACGTGGCATGAGAGACTGAAGATTTGGTACCTGGGTTCTGGAGGGAAGAGCTTGTGGTCTCAAAAGGAGGGGTCTTTTCTTCTGTGGGAATGGAGTTCCCACTGAGAGCTGAGATATTCCATAAATGGGTTGAAGCCTAAGCAATGACATAACAAGAGAAGCTAAAAAAATTAAGATAAACAAGAGAGTTACAGGAGTAAAGTAACTAGCTTTTCCCTCTTCTTCTGTGTTTGGTTCATCGGTTATGATTATGATTATGATCAATGAAAAAGACGACGAATTTGCGCACCACAATTGCACACGTTCAACTTCAACCACCAAAACCGTCTGTCCTTTTTCCTTCCTCTATTTCTTTTTTAACTTAAAAATAAGTGCTATCAATTTATTCCTGAATTGAACAAAAACGGAAAGTGTTAATGAATATTAATAAAATCATAATAAAGAATTAAATTAAGAGACTTTTCCGTATTTTAATAACTTATTTAATATTTTTTTAAAATTTACAAGCCTATATTTTTAAGGAATTAAAGTCACTATTTAGTGTGAAAATTTGGGGGATATAGACAGAGAGTGACATGGTTATATATCCAAGCTCTGAGAAATGCACTAATAAAGAAATAAAGAAGTAAAAGTAAAATAGTGAATAATAAGTAGACCTTTTGTGTGGAATTCGAAAGTTTGGGTAGATTTTAAGATAATTATTTTTAATATAATAAAATAATTTTTGTATAGGAGGTTTAAAATTGTTGAAAAATTTAGAAATAAATTTGGAACAATAGTTTTAGGACAAAATAAAAAAAATTTATAAGCTTTAAGTTCTCGTGTGTAGGAAAATATATGAAAAGAATTTGCATAAATGCAATTCTATTTAGATATTTCTGATTAGTCTCTAATAAATATTTTTGTTTTTGCTGAATTAAATATTGAAAAACTATTTTTATATTGATTAAAAATGTTAGTTGCTTTTATTTAATTTTTATTTCATACAGAAAGTATAAATTATCTCTACTCATTTATTGGAGACTGCGTCTAAATTTAAATATAAAGCAAATTGAATACAATTGAGATAGTTAAATTTGTATCTAAATCCAAAAGAATATGATATTGGTATAAGTTAAGCTAAAAATATTCTTAATTTCTGAACTATATTTGTGTTTTTCTTCAAATGCTAATAATAGCATTATTAATAATAAGTATCTATTAGTTTTGTTAATGATTGGTTTTTCTTAGAGAACTTAACGTACTAAATCTTTATTTTCGATCTCAAGTTTTTAACTACCAAGTTATACAGTATTCCATTCAAACTTATTTTTGGTTTTAATTTAAGTGATTTTAAATTAAATAATTTTATGTTATTTATATATAGGTATTTTGTCGAAAAAATAGCTTTAAAAGACGAAAAAATTATTATTTAAAAAACAATTAGAAAGAACAATACTTAAGAAAGAAAAGAATAATATACATTTAAAATATTGTGTAAAATACATTTTTGTCAATTAAAATTTAAAACCATTTCTTATTATTTTAATACAAGTTTATTAATTTTAAATACCCATGTGTTTAATTTTTTTGTTTTTAAGAAATTAGATAAAATAAAAAGAATGGCAATTGGGGGAATAATTATTTCAGAGGAAAAGCTTATGATTTGTATCTCCTTTTATTTTAATTTTCCTCTTTATTTTATTTTTTTCATATTTTCAGAAATATCAGTAGGTAAGAAAAAGGCCTTATTCCCAAAATTTGAAACAAACTTTGTGCTGGCAACAGAGTAGAAACTCCACTCTACTTGAAGGCTTCAACTTTGAGGATAAACCTCTCTCTGCTGCTCCCATTGAGGGTTTATCGTTTAACGGTTATTCCATTCTGCATCCTCAATCCTGCAATTGTTTTGAACTGGTGAAGTCTCAGACTTTAATCATCTTTTGATTCATTTTGCATTTTTCCTCTTAGTTTCTTTTCATGTCAACTCAGCATCGGCGCTTATCAAATACGAAAATCATTTATCCTGTGTTATCGAATAGGGCCTTGTGAGGAAACCCTAATTAGAAAGCGGGTGTTTTTACATTTTAATTGATTCTTGTGTTTTGGAATCTGAAGATTTGTTATGTGCTTTTAATGAATGGTGTCTCCATCTGTGAGTGAATGCAATTTGATAATTTTCTGAATTCATGTTCATTTTTCTGGTCCTTTCATTCGTTGGTGTTGGGTATGGTATATGCCATTCACTTCTCATCTATGATGGAAACGGACACAAAATAACAGCTAAATAAAACAAACAAACCCACATAAAGATGGAAAGAGAGTGAGCTGCATCATTAAACTTGCTACTGTAGAATCAACAACAGAAGGCTATATCATCGTCAGTTCCCTCCCCCCTCCCTTGCAATTAAAATTTAACAAACATTACTCGTGGGAATTTTGGTGCCTTGTGGAGTTATTCAATGCTTATAACATGAACATTGGAAGTCTACGAACTTATTAAAATCGTCCTTGCAGGTTTGTGCTATTTTCAAAGTGAAACAGACTGAGAGTGAATTGTTGACCTGGCATGGCAAGCTTGTTGACAACATCGGTCATCAGCTATTCTCCTGTGAACAATGGTTCCAGGGGATTTGGAAGGTCAGGGAATTTTTCTAAAGGAAGGTATTGCATAAAAGCAATAAAGATAGAGAAATCCTTGGAGGAATTGTACAATGTGAAAGTGGAAAGAAAAGTGTCTCCTGAGAGACTAACTGAGCTTGGAGTATCAAAATGGTCAGTGTGGAAGACTGGGAAAAGCAAGCTTCCCTGGGACTGGCAGGTAGACCAACTGGTGTACATTGAAGAAGGGGAAGTGAGAGTTGTGCCTCAAGGAAGCAAGCGTTTCATGCAATTTTTGGCTGGAGACTTGGTCCGGTACCCAAAGTGGTTTGAAGCTGATCTCTGGTTCAATGGCCCATATCAAGAACGTTATAGTTTTAGAGCATATGGTGATGATTAAAGTAACATGCACGTCTTATCTGGATGTTTCAAGTAATTGAAGTGTTATGTAGTTTTAGTAGTCCAGTTCTAATTGCAATGTCAATATATTTGACTGATTGCGATACTTCACTATCTTCTAAAAGATTTGGTACTAATTGCTTATGTTGTATCCTTTTTCATGTTTTTGCCTTTGCAAGGAAAGACTTCCCGATGAGTTTATCCAGACCAACTTGATATTCCATCACTATACTAAGCTCGCAGATGATTTTTGTTTTTCAAAACCTATCAACATAAATATATATTTTAAGGTAATAACGTGTACAAGAAAGATATCTCTTTATAAAAATAAGACCACACATTAACTTGGAGCTGTGTTCAACTCTATACTTGGCAAATCACTCACCGAATGGGATAAAGAAGGGTGTACAGAGATGTATCATTAAATCTCAATCCTTGAAAGGCGACATATATTGCAGGGAACCGAAAAGCACCAAAAATTCGAACGTATAATGTCACCTTTAGAAAAAAGAAAAAAAAAAGATCCAATATGACAGGCAGGTCAGCCAGCAAATTAAAAACTACTCCCAGAGGGAACAGTAAATGTGAACAAAGGTTGGGATCTTTTTCTGCAAAAGGCAAGAAATAGAAATTACCAATGTTTAAATTGCAGAAAGGTAGCGAAAGGAAATGATTGTTTATGTATCACTGCATAATCTCAATGGCTAGACTTCTAAAACAAACATCGCCTATTAAACTACATTCCTTATGGTACATAATACCCATGATTATAGAACAAATTGTGGAGACAAAATGCCCAGAAACAAGGAGCTGACTGATATCCACATTAACGCCCCAGTCACCTTTGTTCCTCATCATGAGGTCAGATCAAACAATTTGGATCTCTGATAGCTCTCAACCACCGGCAGTAGCCAATTGATTTGCACTGGTTGTGATAGCAACAGAGGACACAAATCTTGACACAAGAATGGCCTCATTACTTACAACATTAGCCGCGGCAACATCTTCCAGTTCTTTCCATATGGATTCCCGCTTTTCTAGCTTCTCCCTGTCCTTGATTTCTTCTTCTTGGAATCTCATCAAGCACTCGTCAAAAAGTGCCTGATCAGCATCAGAGAATATTTTTCTAACATTCAGGGTCAAACTCTGAACTGCTTGGTTCCAATGGCCCCGTATATTTTTCTCCAAAGCAGGGAATATTATAGGCAGTATCACTTTGCTGTTTTGTAAGATCAAATTTCGAATATGGTCATTGTTCCACAGAAACAGAGCTCGTTCGGCTACCTGCCAACAGAATAAAGAAAACATCAAACATAACTTAGTAAATCTAGCTAATTTTTAATTTGAACACATACTTTTATGGTGCACTTAAGCTGTGTTTCATTGTTTAGTTTTAATCTTTTGAGACTAATTCCAGATAATAAAACTATAGTAAGTATTCGTAAAACTCAATAAAGAACCCAAAAATCTACAATCTACAGCTGTCCCAAATGCAAGTTCTAACATAAAAGACAATCATATTAATATATTGTTGCAACAAAAGTTCAACTATATGAAAATTCAATATTATTTCATATGAAAATAAATATCAAATTTCTGAGATTTAACAATATCCTATAGGTTGACCAAAAACAAGTTTTAGAATCTGTTTGAACAAATTTTTACATAAGAACTTCTAAGAGAGAAACATAAGAAAAAAAATGAGTTTTACCATAAGTTAAAATTAGTTTATGCATAAGCATATTTGTATAAGTTCGCTCAGTCATCTTCTCTAAATTTTTAACTAATGCATAAGCTAATTTTAACTTACGAAGAAACTCAATTATTTTTTCTTCTTATTTTTCTCTTTGGGAAGTCATTATAGAAAGTTGTCCAAACAAAATCGTTATATAAAAGCAACCATATATAATGTGCTGTTGGCAACATAAGTTTAACTTCCAAGAAAAATTGAATGATCCTTTCATATGAAATTATGAATCAATATAAAAAATTGAGATTTATACGTAGAGCCATATAACAATGTTATTTTCCAAATGATCATGAAAAGAAGAAGGGATATCAAGTCAAATACTATCCCACCCCAAAAAAATAAAGATAAAGATATGAAGATGAAAATGGAAAAAAAAATCCGATGTTAATGTAACATAATTGGGCTTTGCAGCATCAATACTAAGTACTCTTGGTAGAACTTCTTACATTTGTTAAATTTATCCAAATTTTAACAATTACAATGCATTATATAAAGTTATTAACAAGTGTCCACTACAATAATCTGAAGGAACAAATATGAC